CTTCCTTCCTTCCTTCCTTCCTTCCTTCCTTCCTTCCTTCCTTCCTTTCCTTCCTTCCTTCCTTTCCTTCCTTCCTTCCTCCCTTCCTTTCTTCCTCAGGAACTTATTATTAGAAGAAAAGATGCCTATGAATTTCTTCATTATAGCCAGGTAGGTATGAGAAGAATTTCTATGTGGTAAAACATTAGAGTGGGATCCAGAAAGTTCCTTGCACCATTCCTACAACTGTACAATCAAATTAGAGCTATAAACCAGAACATCTGGAAAGCATCAGAATGGGAAGACTGACCTATACAATTCTAGAGAGTCCTTCAACTAATGAAATGGTCTTTTCTTGGGGGGGTGGTTTCTTTGTTCGTTTGTTTTTGTTTTTTGAAGCTTAGTTCCTAATTATGCATACAGTGGAATTTACATCCATGTTTTTAGCAGGAACTTTTATGTGTGAACAATTTTTACATCTTTGGCTTTTGTATCTTATTTTATATCTTTTTATATCTAGCTTAATATTGATAATTGTTGAACTCAATGGGAAAAAGGGGTGGAATGGAATGGAATCAATAAAATAAAATACCCAATGGAGAGAACCGTGTTGCAACAAAAAAGGAATGAGGAAATTTTCTATGATGGGTGCAGAGTTCATAGAATCATCCATTTGAAAGGGACCCTGAAGGTTTTCATGTCTAACCCACTGCCCAGGGCAGGAATATAAACCCAGACAAATGTCAGCCATTTTTTTTTAAATCACCAATAATGGAGCACCTATGATTTAAAAAACCAAGTTGTTCCAACATTTCCTAGTTTTTAGTGAGGAAATTGCTTCTTATGTCAAATTTAAATCCCTTCTATAAAGTTTTCATTTATGGTTCTTGGAAGTTGTGTAAAATAAACCTACACCCTGTGATAGCCCAGGAAATATTAGAAGATTTTCTAATATTTGGAAGACTGTTTTTCCCTAGCCTTATCTTAGTCTAAACATACCCAGTTTCTTAAAACATTCTTAATCAGATTTATCTCCCAAGCTTTTCCCCTCTCACTGTTCTTTGTAATTTTCCCAAATCCTCAGGTAGTAACCAAAGCCAGCAGCACCCTATTCCAAGGACAGGCAGCATAGAGCTATCATTTCCTGGGAACATGATATTGCAACTCTGTTGACAAGCCCAAGATTACATTACATCTTGCAGCACTTGCAGAGTACTGCCATGAAAACTAGGGTTTCTCTGAATCCAAATGTCAATACTTTTTCTGTAGATTATAACTTTTGTTTGGTATTTATACTAATCCCTGGACTTCTCCCTGCACTGTAGGTTCATAGAGTTTTTACGGAAATAATTGGGAAAGGACCATACACCATTTTTGTCCCACATGCTGATTATCTACAGAAAAGCACCACAGTAAGCAGCCTGTGAAAGGTGGCATTTGAAAACCAAACGGTGGCTTTATTCATTGCACTGAAATTTATTTAATGTAAAAGAAAAGTTAGTTAAAAGAACCTTAAGAGAAGTAAGCAAATTCTGGTTTCAGTTAAACATATTTTTTTCTCACTTTGATTCCAAACATAAACATCTTCAACTAAATTTGATCTTCCTTTTTAACATTTTCATTCAAACACTTGGGCGAGGTCCATTGGACAGAATGGGGTACATACCATCAATATAAAATGCAAGTAGTCATGCCAGCCACATGACTATGGTGGCACTTTGGCTTAGAAATGGAAATGAGCACCAACCCCTAGAGCTGGAAACAACTAGCATGCATGTCTGGGGGAACTTTTACCTTTACCTTACCATCAATGTGCCATATCTATTGAGCTGGCACACAATCTGGAGATTCCTACTGGACGCATGTCTCCTGCTTGGGGAGCAAGTGGCAATGATGGCTGAGGGAGAGGGCTTTGCACAGATTCAGATCCAATTGCACCTCTCCTGGACCAGGAAGCCTTAGCCACTTTCTCTTTGGACTATTGCAATGTGCTTTACATGAGGCTGCCCTTGAAGACCATCTGGAATGGAAGCTATAACTACTTCAGAATCTAGCAGCGCATACAAAGTTTGGAGCCTCTAGGTTTTCTCATGTTACATTCCTATAATGTGAACTGCACTAATTTCTAGTTTATTTCCTGGGGCAACTCAAGATATTGGTTATCACCTTTAAAGCCCTAAATGGCACAGGATCAATTTATTTGAGGGATCACATCTCCCTGAAAATATCTGCCCATCCCATAAGATCAAAGAGGATAGACACACTCCAGCTTTCTTCCCTGCTGCCATCTAAAGAGACTTGGAAAGTGTGCCTTTTCCATAGCTGCTCCTACCTCATGGAACCTTGGCAATCCAGCAGGTCTAGCCTTGAAAAAGGCCATTGTGACTGGCACTGAGGTAGACTGAGAAATCTGAGGGAGAGATTTAATTTATAAGTTGTTGGGGCATCCTAATAAGACAATAAAGGCACCAGGTTTTTAGTTTTAGTATTTGGCTTTCTGGTTTATAGTTGTGATATTGTTGACATCCTCCAAGAATGTACCCTAAGATGGGTGGCCAAAGAAATATTTTAAGTTAATAAATAAATAATTGTTTACAATTAAACTGAATTTTGGTTGTGGCTCAGTTTTCTTCATCTGTACTGATAGTTATGATGTAATTGGTTGATATGTTTATGCCAGGGCTGTCAAACTCCCGGTCTGTGGGCCAGATGTGTCACATGCTGGCTACACCCAATTTAGCAAAGGGGGGAAAAGTCCCAATATGTCATGCGATGCCACCGTGATGATGTGAATTTGACACCCCTGGTTTATGCTAATGCCCAACAGTTCTACATTTTTAGAAGACAAATAGATCATGAATACCAGGTTTTAGCCATTTTCTAAAGATGCAATAGATGGCATTCATGGGGTATTACTATTATGTCACTGAGAGCAGCTTCATTTCAAACCCCTAAATGAGAAGGGCTTAACCTGTGCTTGCCTTGTACAACCATATTTTCTTTAGTTTTCAGAATGGGAAAAAGCTGGCTGCATCAAAGATCTGCTTCGCTATCACGCAGTCATCTGTCAGAAGCTCCTATCGGATGACTTGGAATCACAGGATTCTCTAACTGCTTTATCTGGTCACAAAATCAGAGTTTCCATGAAGGAGGTATGTGTCATTGTCTCAGTCCTGTTCCATTTCCATCTTAGTCATAAGTCACTTTGCTGCACTGCTAAGAGAAACCTTATGTGACTGTGTCCCATCAATTCTTTATTTTTCATGGAACTGGATTATGTTTTAGGACTAATGATGATCCTAGAACACCGGTCCCCAATCTTTCCAGCTTGGCAGCCTGGCAGGGGGGGGCATGTGAGTGGCAGGCTGTCTTGTGCATGCTCCATTTGTGTGAGCCCTCCACTCAGGTGAATGGAACTTCGTGCATGAGCACAGAGCGCTTGTGTTCACGCACAAAGCTCCACTCACCACTTGTGCTCATGCATGAAACTTCACTAGTGTGAGTGGAGGGTGCTTGAAAGGAAGGCACTTGTGCTTGCATGTAAAGCTCCACTCATGGGCAGTTGCCCATTTCTCCCATGGCCTGATGTTGAACAGGTCGTGGCCCTGTAAATATATATATTTACAGAACCCCCACATCCCGGACATAAACTGTTTCAACTCCTACCCTCAAAACGACACTATAGAGCACTGCACACCAGAACAGCAAGACACAAGAACAGTTTTTTCCTGAAAGCCATCACTCTGCTAGACAAATAAATCCCTCAACACTGTTCAACTATTTACAAAGTCTGCACTACTATTACTATTAATCCTCTCATCACTCCTTATCACCCATCCCCTCCCACTTGTGATTGTATGACTGTAACTTTGTCGCTTGTATCCTTACGATTTATATTGACTGTTTCCTAGTATGATTTGATTGCTTATTGTACCCTATGACTATCATTGTGTTGTACCTTATGATTCTTGACTCTTGATGAATGTATCTTTCCGTTTATGTACACTGAAAGCATTTGCACTAAGACAAATTCCTTGTGTCCAATCACACTTGGCCAGTAAATAATTCTATTCTATTCTATTCTATTCTATTCTATTCTATTCTATTCTATTCTATTCTATTCTATTCTATTCT